CTGAGCTGGGGAAATGCTGTGCTGGGGGCTGGCACAGCCACACTGAGCTGGGGAAATGCTGTGCTGGGGGCTGGCACAGCCACACTGAGCTGGGGGAAATGCTGTGCTGGGGGCTGGCACAGCCACGCTGAGCTGGTTCCTGTCCTGCTGCACCCCCTCTCACCTGGTTTGCCCGCAGTGAACTCGGTGTGCAGGGATGCTGGGCTCTACGTGGACCCCAAGATGGAGCCCCCCACGGAAGCTCAGGTCACCTACCTGAGGCAGATCGTGCTGGCAGGGCTGGGGGATCACCTGGCCAGAAGGGTTCAGGCAGAGGAGCAGCTGGATGACAAGTGGAAGAATGCCTACAAGGTGAGCAGCTTGCCTGGCCTCAGTTCCTCCTCCCCTGTGGCAGAAACCTGTGCCAAGCCCAGGTGAGGGCTGGGTGCAGCTCTGAGATGTCTGTGCTGCCTTCCTGCAGCTCCTCTCTGTGGAACTGCAGTTTGCAGTGGTGCCATTTCCTGGTGTTCATGTAGGAAATGTTATGAAAGGGCTGAGAAATACCATGAGTTCACCTTGTGTACCATTAGATATCTTGCTTGGTGTCTGCAGAGAGGGTGGAGCAGAAAATGATGGGGTTATTAAAAGCCTCCACCACTTCAGGAAAGCTTACAGATGCACACCTGAAATGAGGTGCAGTGAGGACATTGCATTGTCAGTCACTGCTCTTGCTCTGCTTCAATCTTTGTGCCTCTTGCAGACTGCCCTCCTGGAGGACCCCGTGTTCATCCACCCCAGCTCAGTCCTCTTCAAGGAGCTGCCAGAGTTTGTGGTGTACCAGGAGATCGTGGAGACCACCAAGCTCTACATGAAGGGTGAGTGCTGTGGCTGTTGCTGAGCAGCTCACAGTGCCTTGGCAGAGTGTTTTCCCCTGTGCTGTGCTTTCTGAGTGACTCCTGGGATTTGGATCCTTAAGCCTTCCTAGGTCTGGATCAGGAGATAAATTGGCATTTTTTATTATTATTTACCTGGCAGTATTGGCTGGAGCAAAGCTCAGCTTCTGAAATATCTGCTTTGCCCCAGCCCTGCCAACCACAGCTGCCTGCTGCTGATCTCTGAACAGACTTCCTACAACATAAAAAGTTTGAAAAGCATTAAGGACAAATAAATGTGTGGAGATCAGACCCTGACCGTGCCCTGTGCCCCTGGGGCTGCCAGTGAGCCGTGGCCAGGGCAGCAAACCTGCATGCAGGTGTGTTTTCCCTCCCCAGGCGTGTCTGCAGTGGAGCCTGAGTGGATCCCTGCCCTGCTGCCGCCCTACTGCCACTTTGGGAAGCCTCTGGAGGATCCCCCTCCCTCCTACTGCCCTGGCACGGGCCGGGTGCGCTGCCACAGAGCCAGCGTCTTCTGTAAGTGCCCCCGGAGCTCCTGCCCCTGCCAGGGGGGCCTGAGAGGGGCT